CTCCTCCGGATGGCAGGAGCCGCTAGTACGTTAAAGGTAACGTGGCAGATTCGCCCCGCTAGACGGCCGAAGGGATAGGGAATCGCTTTGCGTACATTTGAATTCCCTTCGGGCAAATTCTTTGTCGCGACGTTACTCTGGAATGCGATTCCGCGATGCAGACTCCTATTCTCTCTCTCTCTCTCTCTCTCTCTCTCTCTCTCTCTCTCTCTCTTCCGCATAGCGCTGCCTGTCGCGAAAACGGGCCAACGGGAAAAAGCGAACGCTTCGGCGAAGCGATATTCGGCTGAATTAAAAACGCCACTTGTCTCCCAGCACGTCCGCGTGTACGCACAGGGCCGCAGACGGTTTTGCGAAATTTATTTGCAGATCGAGGTAATCAATGGGAAATAATTATAATAAAATTGTCATAATAATGTAAAGGCTTGATTGATATTTTGATGCTGGATTTTACTTGCATGGGAAAAAGAAAATAAACTTTGAAGCCTATTTAAAACGTTTGATCGTTTCCGTTTTTATTTTTCGAATTTTGCGGCTGATCGAAGAAATTTCTTTGAATTTACAAACCTGGGTATAACGAGGGGACTTTTGCTCGCGGGCTGGCATCGAGAGAGACTGAATGGCATCTTCCTGGGATCTGATCCTGGGGATGCTCGGCCTATTTGCAATTTACGATCACGCTTCGCGGGCTAGAACTGCAAATACGTCTAACGGGCTTATTCGCCGAACCACAGGAATCTCGGCGGCGATGGGGAAGCTGGGGATTTGCGAAGGAAGAGCCGCTATTTAAACTTTCACGTCGCGGAATAAAGGGTCGTTGCAGCCAGATGGCTGGACGCCAGAATCTCATTGTCGGTACGAAGAATTCTATTTATTTTCAGGCCCCAGACGTTTATCCTAGCGCTGCTGCTGGCCGTCTTTATTATGGGACGGTGCTGACTGATGGTACCGGTCTGGACCACGTCGCCGTCACGTTTTGCATAACCACGTGACGCGAACTCCTCGTCACCTCGGTGGCCGAGCAAAGGGATGGACCAGCAGCAGACGATAAACTAAATAAAATTATATGTGCAAACAGTAAGCGGGTCGCGAATGCGAAAGTCGATATTTTTCGTTATTTTCTTTCGTTTATACTTATTATTATTTATCACCCTTTACTTTGATCTTTTTCAAGGAATTCCCACTGTCAAACGGATCTTCCGCTCTAATGATTTATCGCCACGTTTCGATCGTGTAATCCCTTCTTTCCGGTACTCGTTCTCTTTAATTGCATTAGCTTTTTCTTTTTCTCGCATTTGCATCCAGCATCTTCATCTCCCTCATTTTCCTTCTCTTCGTTCCAGTACTCTTACTGGCTTCTTTTCATACTCGTTTAATCTTATCAATTTATACCGTCCTGCTGCGACCACCATTTGGACCTGGCCCATCGAGCAAGCTCAGCGGATGAGACACCCTGGGCTGTGTGCGTGTAGCTACTCTGAGGATGACTATCATATTAAGACTTTTCAAAAAAAAAAAAAAAAAATTGCTGATATTGAAAGAAATACGAAAACTTAAATAAACGCGGATAGAGGATTGAAAAGAAGAATTAGTCCATGTAAATATAGGAAACAATATCAAACTGTACCGTGCAGATTTATTAAAATCATCCGGTTCGCGCGTTCCCTTTCACAGCTCATACATGCAAATCCTACAATTTTCCATACTTATTTATGCATACTCCCAACTGGTTCGGTCCAGGATCCTCCGGAACGTGATCCCCGGTTGTAAACTGGTCCTCTGGATATTCCGATTTGTCTGCTGCGAATCCTTATATACGATATTTCCCGGATATCCCTTGAGGAATAGGAATTCTTACAGATGCCGAAAGGAGTGCAAGATTCTTTTACGTGCATGAGAATTATGGGACGGAGATTTGCCACATGCGAGGATTCCTAGAAACCAGAGAGAGATATCATAGACATGGGTCCAGAAAGAAAATAGAAAAAGAGGATAACACAGTAGCCTCTCTGTACGTATACATACGTATACGTGCGTTTTTTTTTTGTAAATCTTATTTATGCTTCCCTTCCATATCGATACCTGCTACCAAGTGCAGCGCACGTACCATTTTTTACGTCGGTTTCAATTTCTACCACGGCGTTAGCACGTACCTCAGGACATCTTATCGGCATTACCGTATCTTTCGAACTTTCGGCATTTCCCGAACGTACCGTAAACTTATACTATTTATTAGTTCCCAGCGGTACAGCATTCGCCCGAAACAAGACGACAATGCTGAATTATTCTTAGTCAGGAAAATAAGATTGGAGGCGAAAAAAAATAAATAAATAAAGAAGCACGATAAAAATTTTCCTTGAAACCGATGAAAACAAAATACCAAGGAATACCAACATATCTAATTCCCAATTGCCTTGCGGACCTACCCAATTGGTTTCAACGATCTTTCGATCCAAGCATTCAAAGGGTACAGTAAGAATTGAAAAGTACGATAAATAAAAAAAAAATCCACGTAAGACCAAACGTCAAATTCAAATTTTACGTCTCGACCGCGACACCCGTTATACGTATCCAACGTACACAGGAATATATTTACATTCACCCATGTAAAATCCACATTTACAAATTTTAATACCATCTTCATGACTTATGCATTTCAATATCACACAAATACATATTGCATAGCTACGATTTCTCATGGTATCAGCCCTGACACTTAGTCACCGTGTATCTCTTCATGCACGGAAGTGGCAGCGAGGGTTTTAACTGTAATGGGCTTTCGAACGTAGAATACACTGGAGGGCGTCGCAAGCAGTATCCAAGCGCTGCCGCCGGATCGTCAATCGATTCCCGAAAGACATACGAGAGCGATTCTTCAAGCTGAAGTCTAAAAGGGGATGAAGTCCTGCAAGATGGAGCGTAAGAGTACAGCGAGGGTGAATAATAGAGAGAGAGAGAGGAAGTTAATAACGGTGGTATCGAATAGGAAGGATTTTTAAAAAAATATTCTCCTCGCTTTTGCCCCGCAATTCGAATTTTCATAAAAGTACCGCCGGTCATAATCTTAACTAATGTCGTCATCCATTACACGTTAAATTCGCCCCACTCATCGTACCCTTGACGAATGTCTCGCGGAATGGAGTTGCAAATTGGGAATTTGTTACGGCACCTCTTCAAATGACTCTTCTTCGTGTTCTACTTTCTCTCTCTCTCTCTCTCTCTCTCTCTCTCTCTCTCTCTCTCTCTCTCGGCCGGGTTTAACTTATATCACGCATTCCACTCTTGTATCCCTCTCTCTTTCTAGAAATCAAGACAGTTCGCTTAATAATGGTTTTAAATTTTCGTTACACGCCAGGCTGCCCCAGAGTCCAGAGGCGAGAGAGAGAGAGAGAGAGAGAGAGAGAGAGAGAGAGAGAGAGAGCACCAACTGACATCCTCACCACCACCCTCTGAACCCTAAGGAAGGAAAACCGTTGAGCGTAACCCCGTCTTAAAGTAAGAGAAACGGGTTTTACAAATGGAGACTTAAGAAGAAGTCTGCGTTTGTGTTCCCGTGTAGTTTTCCAAGACCTCCCGGTTCTCGCTTGCCGGAAGTCTACGGAAGCGAGGAGGAAACTCCAGCGAGGAAATTCTTTGTGAAAATAACAAGTAACGCGTGCAAAATCGAAATGGGATAAGACATGATACAAATAGACGAGGTATAGCCACTAACGAACGTATTTTGATCCAGGTACTGCAGGTCTCTTTGGCTCGATGATTTTGGTATCCCCTAAAACCGTAGTATTTTGCATCTCCCTACCCTTCTCTGGATCGTATTTCGAAGTTACAAAGAGGTGCTGCCCCCTGCAACTAGATCGCGAATAACGATCGAGGGAAGAACGTTGTACGAGTGTTAAAAAGAAATGTACGTTTTTTTTTTTTTTTTCATTTCGCAAACCAGAAGTAGCATTTCGATAGGAAGGAGCTACGGCTCTCATATCCCGTGTAGAATCCTCTCTTCATGTTATATTAAGTTTCTGACTGCAGAACGGTCTGCTCTTCATGGTTACCTTGTACCCATGAGCCTAGACCGGGAAACCCTATTAAACGTGTCTCCCGTTATAACTGCAAGGCTGCAACGCTAATATTGCCGAGATGTTGCCAAATAGTCGCAATAAGCGTCCCGACGGCTAAGTCGCTTGGGACGCCGCATTCTGATACATTTTATCTCTCTCTTGGCTTCCCCTTACTCTTCTCTGACTTTCCACGCCATTACGTGGCTTCCACGTGCGACTGCCTAGCCTCAACTGGACTTAATTGTTCTAGAAGGATCGCCGGGCCAGGTTAGGCAAACCGAGGATTTTACTCTCTGCCAAACCGTTTTATTCTTCTACAAGGCGAACTGATTAATCAGACCAAAACAATATACAGGTTATGTTGCTTCCATTGTGGAACGTGAATGCACTGGGATTTTTTTTTACAGTGACAAAGTAGCTCTTACCTTGCTCTGAGTTTGGGTCTACTCTGTTCCTGTGCAACTTCAGACAGTCGATTGCTCAATGTTTCATAGGAGTTTCAGGCTCCTACTCAGGAATTCGACGACAACGCGAATACCGACTGACTCCGGAATACTGGAAATGTGTTTCGATACCTGAATAAGATTGGTATCAGTGTCAGGTGTTATTGGATTTGTGTCCACGGTTAATGGGATCATTGCGACTGGCAGTCAGACCGTATCAGTTCGGTCGGTGATATTTTGACGAGGTCAGGATTAAAATATTACCGGTCGGATAACTCTGGAAGTTATCCATTTATTCTGCAGACCCCTCGAATCATCTTGAGAGAATGATCTTGTCTGGTGTTGGACTTCTTTTTAAATTACAGGGATATTATGCTCTGCGATATTATATGGGACGTCTTTCTAAATGGACTTGGGCTAAGTCTTGATTTGATTGGAACTTAAAAAAAAGTCCTTTTTTTTTGGATAGAAAATCTTAATAGGAATTCAATGATTTATGCGATTAATTTTTACCATTCATTTTTTACGGATTTTCAATTTATACATTTTCATTGATCCGCTTTTTTTTCTTTTCAAGGAAAATACAGTTTTATCGTCCATTTGACACTTTTACTTCGGCCGTGAAATACGATGTATTGTCTTATCTCATACTTATTGCCAGACTTAAGAAAATTAACAAAAGGCTGCAGAATGCTCCTGACGCTTCTGACGCTCCTGACTCTTCTGGCGCTTCTGACGTTATTCCGGCTACTTCGATTATCCATGGCAACAGCCGTGGTACATTGCTGTATACCGTTGGATACGTTGTACCACCGCAACCATAGGACCATGCAACTAGACCTGTTAAACGACGGCTTATTCGCTTTATGCTTATTTGAGTGATGAAAATCTTAGACTTTTCAGTGCCGATCGAGCATGGGGAAATATTAAAATTTCATTTACCCAATAAGACGCCATCCCTTACGGCTCCTGCCCCTGCGTCTCCCACGCATGGACCAATATTTGCCGCGTGTGCACAGAAAACGTCAATTTGCGTCTTTCCTACTTGTTCGTAAACCCTACTGCATTCCTCTATAGTTATCGTGGGTACACTGATCTTGCGAATTACAGGTGATAAATTTGCATCCAAAAACTGCGAAAAAATATGTGATAGAAAAAGGGTGATCGGAAAAAAATTTTTTACTCACCTCAGTTACTCCCCAGCTAGCTATATCGAGCATCGTTCCATTTTCGATAGTCAAATTGTAAGTGGGTAATTTGACAGGCTGAATGACGTCACTGAACTGAAAGGACCCACGAATCTGTGAAAAGATATGCATATGTATATTTAGAAAAAATTGACGTAAATTATGTAAAATACAGAAATAACTGAACTGGGGTCACGAAATAAGTTTTGTCGTCCTTCCTATTTTCTGTTATAATTTTCGAAAATCACGTCGAGTGATTAACGAAGGTTACGCATATTTAAATGTCAGTCTAATTTTACGTCCATATATTTGTTTTTTGCATTATTTAACACTGTTACCCTAATTCGAGTTAACCGGGCATGGAAGCTCGCTGGTTTTTTTTTTCTTAGGCGCACTTCAGATTCGAGCTTTAAATATTACAGTACCTTAATGAGACCTATGTCATAATTAAGATCAACCGCGTCGAAATCCTCATGCGTGGTGACATTTTCGACAGTATAAACAATACCACTTTCGTTATAATAACTAGATCCAGCGCGAACAATAAGATTCTCCGGCTCGAGTCTAAAAATATTAAGTGGTATAAATTTCAAAAAAAAAAAAGAAAAAAAATGAATTTCATCAGACAATCACTTACAAAAGAGCGCACTCTGCCGCCGTGACTACCCAATTTTGATTGACGATGGTGCCAGTACAAAAATGCGCTACCTCGTACCCAAAGAACGTGCTGTTGTATTGCAACGATACCTGAAAGAAAAACCAAAAAACAGTTATTATCCCAGCAAGATTTTATATAAATTTCACAATAAAAAAAAAAATGAAATCCAAACATACCACATATGGATAATTGGCTATGGTAGTTTCATCACTACCAATCAGCCTGCCACTGACACCCCTATTGATTGATTCATAGACGGTAGGAGTGAGTTCTGAAAATGAAAAAAAAAAATTTCAAAAATATATTAAAAAACCGATACAATGAAGCGATTATATATTTTTTTCGACACTTTACTATTTTCTGGTACAAACGAATTGGATGCAGCTAGTAGCAGAGAAACCAAAAACACTTGCCGGGGTAACATCTTGCACTGGATTGAAATTGTGGTAACGACTCTGGTATATATTTTTGTAAAATCGACTCGAATTATCTGGACGACGATGATCCAATCGGCAATTATCGGTACGGCTGTAAATGATACAAGGATCATAAACGTATTATTATTGCTATCTGGGTTTATGTTACCTGCTTAACACGTTCTTTACATAATTCCCGTATTAAGTCCGCGAAAACCTGACAGTCGTCGCAGTGTTATTACCCGAGTTTTATAAATATTTTATATATTATATATTATAATTATATTAATATTTTATAAAAAAAATACGAAAATAATATATATGTATAACATACACTGCCTTCAGCTTTACGAGGCTTGTAACTGCATTCTAACCCTATTGCACGCGTTTTTTCTCGCGCAGCATCCAACTAAATGGTATTTAAGATTTTTCCAGAGAACAACGTGTATCCCTTCTTTAGCGTTCTGTGCGACCAAAAACAACGTTTATGCCTTTTACTTTGATTTTTTCAAATTCATATCCTCGTCTCGAAATTTATCAACGGCACTGTATATATATATTTAAGGCATTTGATTTAGCATTGATAACGTATTTTGATTAGATTCATTAAATTAACATTGGTACATTGACTTTGACGTTACCGTAAGTCAATGTTGAACAAATATTTTGATAAATATTTAAATGCAGCAGCGGGCCCGTTCGCGACGACAAATTATGCATTGAAATCTACCGAGTGCTATAAAACGTACTGATAATGGGAGGAAAATATTATTTCCCTCTGTGGACCCCGTGTGTTAACGCGGAATTAGCATATAAATCTGGCGACCACTTCAACGGGAATATTATATTACGATGTATCCTGAAAAATTTCACTCGGTCAAAAGTCCTTAGAATCATCTGACACCCACGTCTATATACTATTTTGATGAAAGAAATAATTCGATCGTAATAGATTTTTTTTTTTTCAAACCTATCGACTAAAGATAAGGATGAAAGTAAAAAAAATTTTTTTTAACCTAAACCCAATCCACCTCTACACGTCGTTCCTTTCTAGAACGCAGATCGAGTGACGAAGTCATCCGTCTTAGAAATTAATCTTGCCATAAATATTAGGATAATTAATTCTCGAGAATGATTAAGGACAATAAAAATTTTTTTTCACTTCACTCCTGGTATAAAAGTCATTTCGTAATTTACATTGTCCGCACAGTTGCTTGATATTACCCAACATAGGATTCTAGATAGCTACGGGATTTTTTCAATTGGTTTTACTTTAGGCTACCTGTTACGAAAATCCTATGAGATAATTTAATACGAATCTATGGTGTGTGTATATTTAATAAATTCTTTATATATATATATCAGTGTCCATCCATCTCACGAATTTCCAAGAGATAGAAATGCGAAACAGAGTGCAGGTGCGTTTTCAAAGTGGAGGATTAAATAAACTGCCGTAGGACACGTGGAGTAGGAAGTATTTGATATATAGCCAACAATTTTCTCCTTTTTCTACATAAAGTCAGCAATATATTTTTTTTTGTCCACCTGAAGCAGCGACTGCTGCCATATAATGAGGCAATAAAAACTTTTATATAAATATCTGACAATTCATTTGCTCGGCAGTTGTTGGCAATATTATCAGATATTTCTTATCAGAACCTAAACGATGATTCTAGCAATAACGAATCGACATAATTATATAATGATAATCATTCTGGTGGAAATATCCCTTACGACATATAGCCAATACATAGTAATCATCCTAAACGAAAATTAGAATATCGTTTAATCTACTGGGATTTACGTGTTAATCGTATAATCATGTCTAATGACGTATCCATGGGTTATCAAAGGCATTTCATGAAACGACCTCTGTTAATGAATACGTTATTTAAATTAATTAACGATTCGATGAAAATCATCAAATTGTTATAATTAGAATGTAATTTTTGAATTTGAAAAAAAATCTTCTATCCATCAATTCGTTTGTGTATTATTTGACGATCTGATGACTTTTGAGATTCTTAATATCAAATTAGGTCAAATGAGAGTCGATGTCTCTATCTGAGGTCATTAGCTTTAATCTAGTTTTACGTTTTTCAAAAAATATTTATATATATATATATATATATATATATTCAAACGTGTTTTTACTTACCTGACTTTGATGACGTGGATATCCTGTTATAATTATCGATTTTTGAGTTTCACGCAGTTATCGATGATGACGTCGTTTACGTGTAATTTTTCAGATAAGGGCGAATAGAGATTTTTTAATTTTGCAGTTTTTCCTCGTGCCGGCAGATGTCTCATTCGGGTCTGACTGGAAAAATAAAATCCTGCTAGTAGTTGTATATTCAGTGACGCTTAGCAATTTGTATGAATATGTATATCCATACTGTATATTCGATGAACTCGATTCGAAGGAAATAAAAAGAGAGACAGTTATTTCCATTTCTTTGAGAAGCCTCGGAGCGGCTTTCCATTACACGAGATGGCTCTGGCGCACGAGTGAAAGTTAGTTGTTGGATATGGAATTTTGTAAAACATTGATTAGTCGGAGTATCTTTTATTCATAGGCCCTTTGCGAACTCATGGAGAATCTTAAGGGTGATATTTATCATTAGAAATATCACATCGAAATTAAACCCTGAAAATTTGTTTATTCAAAGGGACTTTTTTAAGATCCTGTCAATCGCAACGAACAAAAAATTTACAAGGTCTATTTTACAATATCTAAAATTTACAATATCTAAATTTATTAGCAACGTGAAAATTCGACTTTGCGTTATTATTAGACACACTGTACAAAGTGACAATGCACTCGTGGAGCATGAAATTATTGATACCGATCGATCGAGCATTGACCACGTGGTTCTATTGTCGTTGACATCGAGACAAGATGACACTTCGAGAAAGCGAGAAGACTTCGAAAAACTTTTGCCTGATAATAAATCGAATAATGAATATTGAATATTGATATAAAAAATAATTACTTTATTAATCCAATGATGATTGATAACGCGTGTATCGGAGTGTTAATCTTTTTTATAGCCCAATTGTCATAAAGTGACAGTAAATACACTTCATAAATTTTGATCGACGTTGTATCGTTCGAAAATCAGGGAAACATCAAAGTTATTCCCCGAATGAAATATTCATGGAAAATTTCACTCGACCTACCCTTCGAGTCATGGTATCAAAATTGACATTGATTAAAAATCAGGATAAAAAATACACTGTCGACTGGTTAAAAGTTATTTTTTTTATATTCGGGGTAATTTCCTCCATTGGCTATCAGAGATAAATTAAGAAAATAATTCGTACTAGAATTTTCTTTTATTAACAAAGTTTTGATAGTCCACACTGTACTTTGCGATTTACCCTGTTTCAAAAGGACAGCAAATGCTCCCGGTACACGCACCTCGCGAATTGTAACTCGGGGAAAAGTGACCATTGATAAACCTAGCCTAACCCATCGCTCCACAGTCTGCTCCAATCGAACTACGTACTTCCGTTCAGATGACGAGGTGTAAAAAGATCGAAAAGTTTTTACCGCCACTTACACTTCGATCCACCGGATACGCAAGGAAGAGCCGTACCACCCGATGATCAGGAACACGAATAGAAAAACCCCATGAGAAAAACTTAGGTGTAAAAAGCTACGGCAAGTAGAGTGCTGTGAATTTCTCTAAGAAAAAGTATATAAATGATGTAGACTAGACATGCCGGGCGGTTCTGATATGTAAAATAGACTGTATAACATAAAGGTAAATCCTAGCCGGGTGGCTAACAGTGATTTCACCTAATGGTCAGAAAGCCAAATGTACCACGGCATTGAAATGAAATTTCCTCAATGGTTATTCTACTGAAATGCCGATGTGTCGCAAACATACTACTCTGTTACATTGTTGAATATCTCAACCGAGCGGTCGGGAGCTGAATTTATTGTGCGAATAATTTCTATCTATAGAATTGAAGGTACTGGAAACCTGACAATGAGAAGAGTAAGGCTATTATTTGACGATAGGTTCAAAGTGAGTGGTACACACCTTGAGAGACATTGGGAAGCTGTGATGCGCCGCGCGAGATGACTCTAGGTGAAAGTTGTAGTCCCAGCTGTAGTGCAAATGTTTCAAGTTAGACTTTCGACGACTGGTTGGATGATCACCGGGAAGAAGGAGAACGTTCGGGGCAATGGAGTTAATTTGAGATTTGAAAAAAGGATGAAAAAAGGTAACAACAAATTTTGTGAAATGGGCCCCTCCCCGACCATTTACGTGAGGTCCTGCCTCTCCAGCTGCGATCCCTCCGAGGTCTACCGGAGGACAGTATTTTGGGGATTGAGGAAAAAGAAAACCTGGACCAGGGGAAAAATCTCAGGAGCGAAAGGAAGCTGGGACAGGCGACGCGAAAGACGCGAAAGATAAGTTAACTGCGAAAGTCTCTTGTATCCGGCAGAGACTTTATTCAAAAGAACCGATACTACTTCAGAACAAACGGACTACCCCTCCGAGCTCCCCATCGCCACATGGGAGCGTACCCACCCACCCAGGTGTCAAGGGTCAGCGAAGTTTTCAGGAAAGCGAACAAAATATATTAAAATTACCAAAGATAGACACCTGGTTAGATCGACTGCACGCAAGAGTATGGTCGTAGCGGACCCTAAGGGTGCTCAAGGCCCCCGTCGGGAGGTCCCGAGAGACCATATTGCGACCACAAGTTGGGCCCGACCTACCGAGCAAGCTCAGCAGATGAGGCGGAAGGGCAACCCCCGTCGCCATAGTCCACGTGTCCCTTTAACAGAATGAACTACCCTCTTACGACTACTCGAAGAAATATGCGCGGCCCAAACAAAGAATTAGGAAAAGTAAGACAGGCGCAATGGAAAGTAAATGAGACCAGAAGAGAAAGAAGAAGGCACAAAGAAAGAAATAAGGAAAGTAAAGAATAAGTTAAGAAAAAAAAAAAAAAAAAAAAAATGTAGAAAAAAAAAAAAAAGGAAAGAAAAAAAAAAGTTAAAAAAAAAAAAAAAAAAAAAAATGAATGTAGTAAAGTAAGGAATACGAGTACAGGACAAAACAAAAAAAAAATAAAAAAAAAGAATAAAAATCGGGTAAGATGGGACTGCCCAGGAGACCGGTATAGTAGATGACCGGCTCGTGGGGGAATGATCGCTCTAAGCCTAAGCGCTCCCGTAAGCGCTCCCCCCCTTCCCCGCTCCGTGCTTCTGCGGAGCAATTTTGCGCTTCGATAAATTTTAAAATTTCCATCACTTTTTTTACCCACCGTGGTTCTTACTTTCTAAGTGTCAATAATAATTATTAAAATTCATAATTAATACAACTTTAGGTCATTCCTTATCGAGTACTATTCGGCGAGTCCATGCGTTACGCGATATAAATTTGCGTTCATTATCCCAGTTTTCAAACTCAAAACCAACGTCAACTTTTTATATAGAGCATATTAGCAATAACTCGTAAAAAAAAAAAAAAAACATGATAAAAACCTTATAACAAATATACAGTCTTAGAATTCCTATCTGGTCTGTAATCATATTCTCGAATTTAAAAAAAATCTTCATCTAGACGTATAGGGCAAATTTTAAACGCATTATCAGGATGACGTAACACTTCCTGAGAAATCAATACCAAAAACTTGTAGATCGTTACCTTCTTATCAGCCAAGTGATTTGGAATCAATTGCAAGTAAATACGAATTAGTAGAATTTGCACTCTTTGCACAGTAACATGTTGACTCTTTTCTTCCTGTTAACCGTAGCAAGTGGATACGGTACAGCCATAAGTGATAGAATAATTGGTGGGACATCGGTAACCATAAGAGATTACCCTTATCAGGTGATAAAAATGATCTTTCAGTAGTTCATTAAATTCCCCTATAGCCATAGTACATTTAGTTAACTTTAAATACAATTTTTCCTACTGTCTCTCCCCCACTTGTCCTTTCTACTTCAACTTCCCTCTTCTTTTTCCATAAACTTTCACGTCTGGCCACAGACCCTACCATTACTACTGCAACCAGGCCCCCTTTTCCCATTGCCTATACCTGTATAGTAGGACTCTCCTCAACTGCTACACTAATACCATCATTAGTACCAATCCCTCTTACACAATCACCTCGAGTAATCCCACTCTCGTATCTATTGACCCCAATTACTCGATTAACATAGGTATCAATTATCTACAATGGTGCTCATCAATGCGGTGGCTCGATATTAAGTAATCAATGGATCCTCACGGCTGCTCATTGCGTGTACAGGTAAGTTACGTGAAAGAATCGTCGGTTCAAAAATTCTAAATATATCGTTATCATGCCTCAACCACCTTTCGCCATGTTAATTATCGTTCATGATGTACGAGTTTGATTCATCAGGCGTAAAATCAACCTCATCAATATCCGCGTTGGATCCACGTATGTGTCGAGTGGAGGAACTTTGCTCACTGATATATCGAAACTGATAACTCATCCACAGTATGACGAAGATTCGTACGGCTTTGACGTGGCTTTAATAAAGGTAAGTTTTAACGTCGATTCCATCGGTGGATCAATTATATGAAATCTTCCCTTCGGTTATTATAACCAGTGTCCTTTAAGCCCGCCAAGGCTTTCGCTCTGAGCTCATCAGCACGTGCTGTCCGTTTGCCCTCTGCTACGTCCACCATATCGATTGGTACTCGGGCTGTCGTCACTGGATGGGGCAAAACTTCGGTTGGTATCACTGAAGTTGATGAAGAATTAGATAAAAAAAAATTTTTCAATTATCCATTCGCAGACGAATGGCGTCGTGTCCAGGACTCTGCAAGCACTGACAGTTCCTATAGTCGATCAGACCACGTGTTACAATGTTTATATTTATTATAACACTGTAACGAAGGAGATGCTGTGCGCGGGATATACCAACGGCAGTAAGGACACCTGTCAGGTAATTTTATGTAATATCAACAGGTAGCTCACGAAAGACCAGTATACTCTGTGCGTATTAAATATCAAAAGTTTTTATAAGCTATACGATGACGCAGGCACGTCCTGCTGGACGAATTTTAATCGAATTTATGATTCTGATGCCGAAGGGGGATTCGGGTGGGCCGCTTGTTCACAATGGCGTTCAAGTGGGAATTGTTTCGTGGGGCGCTGGATGCGCCACTCCTGGATATCCAGGGGTGTACACGAGAATTTCGGCGGTACGAGCATGGATAACTAAACAGGCTGGTATATAGGGGATCAATGGAGAATTGGATGATTTAAAAAAAAATGTTGTAACTGAATTTATTCTTTGAAAAAAATAAATATTTTTCTTTCCACGAAATGGAAATATCGATTGTGATGACTTTATCAAGTAATTTAATCATCGAGACCACGTGGCTAAACCAATATATGACAGCTGGGCTAAATAATAAATATAAGTGACATTTCTCTGGGGAATTAATTTTAATATTAATTTGTATTCGGATAATTTTTTTTTCGAAAAATCGAAAATTTTCTATTGACTTGCCAAGAATGATATTTATAATTATGGTATTGGGGTTTGCAAGCGGATTTCTTATCAATCGATACTGTTATCGATTGGACAAGGTTGACGTTGATTATTTTTAATAATTTTTTTTCCTCTGATATCTTTTTACGGACATCTAATTGCAGTACTAATAGTCCACTACGGTTATTCCTGTGCTGTTAATTAGCCAATCACGGAAGTAGGACACTTTAGAATATACTCCAGGATATCCTGCATAGGCACACCTGTATCCCCAAGATACCAAACCTACTACCTTATCTCTGTACACGGCTGGACCACCCGAATCTCCTGAGCACGCATCGATTCCACCAGTGTCCAAGAATCCGGCGCAGAGCATTCGATCGGTTACGTTCTTTAGATTTCCATAAGCATTCAGGCAGGAAACGGTGCTGACAGTAGGAACGTAGGCGACTTGCAGTTGCAACGTTGAGGCTCCTAAATACTTGAAAAGAAAAGCGTGCAAAGATGAAAATGACAAATTTTGGAATTTTTATTAGGCAACAATTTTTTATTACCTCCAAACGACCCCAGCCCGATATCTGTAGGAGTTCGTTATCGTTGACCTCAAAGTCCCGATCAGGTAACAATACGGGTTGACGAATCTCATCGAATTCTATTGGCTCCACCAGCTGAAAATTGGACGGGACAAATTCATATTTGATTTTCAAAAATATTTTTCAAAATTTTTATCTACCTTTATCACTGCTATGTCATAGTCGTATACTTCGGTATCATAGGAATTGTGATGTATTACGGTGTCCACTGTATGCACAGTGCCGCCAATGTTTCTTAACGAGGTACCAGTACGTATAGTTATGAAGGCGGTGTTACTGTAGAACAAATTATTTATTATACACTCATTCGTATTTACTGTTAATAGATATTGACAAACCCCAGTACACAATGGGCTGCTGTTAGAATCCAATATTCCGATATGATGGATCCGCCGCAGAAGAATCTACCGGATACCAATAGTTGGATCTGAAAAAAAAAAAATATCGAAATAAATTTTCATTCCTATTTAATTATCAAATTTCAGCGTTCGAAAGGGATCTTGTAATTGATTGGTATGAAAGTTAATAAGAAAAAAAATAAATATGATACTAACTTGATACGGTACTTTATCGATTGTCGTATCTGTACCGCCGACTATTCTGCTATCGGTCTGTGATGTGTCTGAAAATTCAACGATATATATCGATATACGTTGCTTTGTTAATAACAAAATTTTATTATTTAAATAAATTAATATTATCATTATCACCTAAAATCCTAACGACGCATGATAACAGCAGGTAACAGCAGAGCACGGGATACGTCCACATTGTTAAAGTCAAATTAGCGGAACGACTAAAAGCCCGGATACGAAATACACTCTTTATCAGTTATCTATTAGTTATCACCGATTATTTTAATAACGATAGCCGATTAAATAAAGGGTTAATCATCAAGGCCGGAGATCCGATTTTAATTACACGATGCTCCGGATGAATGAAAATGCACTAGCCACGTGTCTGTCTAATTTAACGTATACGCCCGTATGTATATATAAATCCTATTACATCGATCCAATCAGATTTTGGATTTCTAATCAGTCTAATCACTTTTGGATATCGTTCTAAAATTTCCGTACTACTACAATTTTTCAATCGATATCGATTGGCTGGATTATTCGTGAAGCGAATAATACGATAAGGACGAATTAAATGCTCCGACACTCTTATCAGTGTATCTTATCAGTAATTACAATTCTAATATATCATCAAGGCCAGTTTACAACAGGTAAACCTCGATCGTTTCATTGGGACTTTATTAGCGAATTTTTGTATTATGAAAATTTATGAAAAAATATTTTATCATTATTACAGACTGTTGCTTGTTATTATTTTGAAATCCAGCAATAAGACCACGTGGAATCGACGATTGCTATATGATTGGACAATTACTGCGATATTGGTTAGATTAAGGATAGACCTTAATCAATCACTGTTCCTTATGTATAGCCACAGTTTCTCTTGTTATCCCTGCAAGCAGTTGCTGAGGTAGTTGCATCCTGAAGTAAATTCAGGATCCTGAATTCTGAATCCCAGTCAATTCGCCAAGTTCTCCTGGGTGGAGTCCTGGAACTGGTAGCTCTCGGGGATGAAGCTGGCTGGCCGTCCCTGTAGCTGTAAACGGTCCTAGGGATGCTGCCTGATAGTCCACAAGCTATTGGTCCAAGTACCAACGTAGTAACCAAGTAGAAATCGATAGAGCAAACCTATCAAGAATCTTAGCTAATGGTCGAATGGCTACCTAGAATGTTATTTAGTTTCTGGTTGGTATCGCTGATAATGATTTACTTCTATGTGGTATTACCTGAAGTTAACGTAGGAGCAAGTGAACTGATAATATTGATATCGTGTATATAACAAAATTGATCGATAGTGAGGTTTCAAAAAATTTTTGAAAATTTTTTAACAAACTATTGATCACGTTTTTGGTACTAATGAGGATGATAACGTTGATGCTCCAATAGGAATGTGATTTTGATAAGCTGGGTCGAATGGGAATGAGGAATTTGGGATACGATGTTGAACGACGTAATATATTTTTTGTTAATTTTTTTTTTATAAACACTAATCGATCGATTTGGGTAATTGGGTCAGAACGGTCATTAGCTTGGGGGAAATTTGAACCTCTTAATCAATTAGTCGTCTAATGGGATCTTTAAAAGAGAACTGATTCTCCCAGGGCTTCAGCAGTTCGTTAAGTCACCTCGCTATGTATCTTTACGGGTTTATTTTTCTAGTCGGGATAGGCGGTAAGATTTTGAATTTAAAACGTGAATTTTGACTTTGGTACGTTTTACATTATTTTTCTTATTCAGGTGCAATATGCAAACCAAGGGGTCGAATCGTGGGCGGTGAACCCACGATTATAGAAAATTTTCCACATCAAGTGAGTGATACGATTTTTATGAAAAAAGTGTATTTTTGATTTTTTTATAATTAAATTTGAAATCAACACATGTCTCTAGGTCTCGGTGCGTATAAATGGTCGGCACGTATGTGGTGGTTCTATTATAGGAAAACAGTGGATAGTGACAGCAGCTCATTGTGTATACGGGTATAAAAATAATAAAATGATGTACGAAGAAAACAAAATTTTTTCAAAATTAATTTCAGCTCATCGGTAACCAAAACGTCGATAAAGGCTGGTATATCAAATTTGATTGAGAATGGGACGGTGATCAATGCCGTGAATATAATCACACATGAGAAATACGATCCTATAACAACTGATAACGACATAGCCGTAATAGAGGTAAAAATGTTCCATGCCTATGAAAAAAAAAAGTTTTCCGTGACACAAAAAAATGTCCTTTTTTACAGCTGGAATATCCATTGGACTACGACCGTTACGTAAGTCCCGTGAATTTACCGTCGTCCGATGAAAAGTACTTCAGTGGTCAATTGGCCACAATTACCGGTTGGGGAAGATTCAGATACATCGGCACGCTTTCATTGCAATTGCGTAGAGTGGATGTCCCATTGGTGGAGCGAGCCTTGTGCGAAAAACTATACAGTGATTATCTGATCTCCGAAGGGATGCTGTGCGCAGGATACGTCCCTACCGGAGGCAAAGACGGTTGTCAGGTAAAAGTCTTGATTAAAAAGAAAGTGCGTTTTAGTAATTTTCTAAAAAATTCATCCCTTATCAATTTTTCAAAAAAACTTTATAGAAGACTCAAATTTGTTTATCTCTCTCGTACACAGGGTGACAGCGGTGGTCCCATGATCATCAATAGGAAATTGGTCGGAATAGTTTCCTGGGGTGTGGGCTGTGCTGCCCCCAACCGTCCCGGAGTCTACACTCGCGTCACGCTTTTCCGAAATTGGATAAAAGAGAAAAGTGGCGTGTGATACGTTAATCCAAAATCCAGTTTGCTAACTGTCCAGCTGTCTTATCGAAGCCATCTGAATAGTACAGGCATGGAGTATCCTATACGCGTATTGTCAGTTACCAAGGTACAAGGTGCTACAGGGTGGTCATCTTAAAACTGGAATATCAATTTTGTCAAAGTGACCCATAAAAAAGGCCCTGGTGGAATTTCGTCCTAAAATCAGCCACTTGATGTATTTAATTTTTCAATTGAATTAAATATTTAATTTTTCCTATTTGTATCGCCTTTTTTTTTCTATTAATCGAAAATTTAAGGGGGTCCCCTGTTAATTGAATAATATTTATGATTCTATAAATAATCGACACCCTATATTGGGTGGTGAATTGATCTCCGCTTGCTCGTTACGTTTAATCATAATGAATATTCATTAGCTCATCGATATTAATTGGTACCTCTTTTTAGTACCTCCCAACCTCCCACCACCCACCGTCCCTACTGAATCCGTAATACTGAAAATCGCTACGTTCGCTATCTCCGGCAATGCTTGACAATTAATTCCTGGGTATCATAAGCATCCCCCTGAAATAGGCAGTTTGCAATTTACCCATGTAATCGATAATACACCATGTAACCGAGTGATAAAAGACCCCACGAGATAATACCAACCCAATTATAACGAAACAGCAACACGAATATAATCGAAACCATCGGATAAAATAGCATGGTAAAATATTAACATTAATCAAGAATTTTTTTTATATGCATAATTAAATTTTCTAAATTGATTGAATTATTGTATAAAAAAAAATATTAAATTAATATACCAGCATTGCTGGATATCCAATTTAAATAGCTACCGACCCTAGTGTAAACACCAGGATACGTATTGTATAAACATCCTAAGCCAAAAGACAAAATTCCCACAATGGTATCGTCAGCCGTTACCAGGGGTGCTCCAGAATCTCCCTAAAAAATAAAAAAATTTATTTCAGCTCATATGTAAAATATGAATCCCAGTAAACGGCATATACAAGTAATAGATATATATATATGTATATGTACATAGTCAATTATATTCGTCGAGCAATAGTTGCGATATAAGAAAAAAATATTTTCAAGCTCTTCATTCCCTATTCGCTATACTAAATTAATCTTAAGTTGTCATCCCGTTCATCTACGACCTAAACTTACCTGACACGTTTCCACGCCTGACGTCATATATCCCGCACAGAGCATTCTCCGCGATAAGGGCTTAAAGCCAGGCATCGTCGAGTTGCACGTATTCAGATTTACAACTGGCACAGCTGTCACCTTCAGTTGGGATTCTGAGCCTCCGTACTGGAAAAGTTAATACGACATTTTTGATACAGCTCAAAACTTCTGTACCGAGCCTCTATAAATACTGCAATCGCGTGCGATAAGAATTTGGATTATTTTGTAAAAAAAAATTATTAAAAAAAATATTCATACAGCCTTCTTTCTCCATCCAGTTACCAAAAGGCTGCTGCCATCCTCCACAGTGTAATCAACTGGTAAAATGATAGGCTGTAACTTATCATTGAACTCTATAGGATTTTCGAGCTGTAAATAATAAAATTTATTCATTTCTTTATTTTTCATTGTCATCATCCCTTTTACCTTCAGAAGAGCTATATCATCGTCGTATGTGTATTTGTCGAAGTTATCGTGTACAATGATTTTTCCAATTGCCAATTCCGTGCCTCCAAATGACGAGATCGACGTGCCAATTCGTACGTTTATGTCAGAAATCGTCCGCCTGTCGTATCATGAAATTAATAGAATTATAAAAAAAAATTTTATAATCGATATTGATTAATCGTATCGATTTTTTCAATATTTTAACAGATTACCCAGAAACGCATGATGCTGCTGTTATAACCCATGATTCGGTAATAAGTGCACCGCTGCAGAAATGTTTACCAGAAAATTCCACTGATATCTACAAAGATACATATTAGGATGGGAGCCACGTGCAAAATACAATTATGAACTTTGAACTTAGTCATGGACCCAATGACACGAAGGTATATAATATATATTTGCTCTACTCACGTGATAAGGATAATTCTCAATAGTAGCATTTTCAGCCTCGCCCCTCGCTAGAGCTAAAAAAAAAACAAAAAAATATTTATCCACCATTAAAAGTAAAATTTTCTTTTCCCAAAAAACCAACTTTTAAGCTCCCCCTACGAGCTTTCGCTTTGTGAAAAGAAAATAATAATAATAGCCGTTACCGTATAAGATGCTGTGAAATAACAGATGAAATTCGAATAGCATCACGTCTACCTTACGGAAGCCAATATCTTCGACTCCACTCTGACATATAGTTTTCATCGAAATAGGCTGTCGCAGAACGTTGAGCGGTTATCGATAACTAAATTCTTCCACCGATAAGCCTTATCTCTGAACAGTACATAAATATCGTGCTAATTGGACGTGGATTGGATGACTCGGACGTATGACATTTAAAAACACGAAATATCGAGCACATATTTATCTAACATTTTTATTCAACGAAAAAGGAAAATATATGCTATTCTTTTTTTTTTTATTTTTTCATCAACAATTTTTCATCCACCGATCATCATTCCTGTATCGTATTTTTCGAAAACTCTAAACGTCATTCCCACGTGCCAATTTCAAAGTATTACAAGCTACCGGTCTGCTCCTTGACCCATCCAGTCAAAGCAGCTACGTTAGTATAGACGCCGGGGTACTTTGGTCTCGCGCAGCCATAGCCCCAAGAAACGACTCCGTACAAGACGCCGTTAGCAGTGAGAGGACCACCGGAGTCACCCTGGCAGGCGTCCTTACCACCCTCTTCCAAAAGTCCAGCACAGATCATCCTATCGGTAATCGGTGCATTCATGGAGCCATAGGCTTTGGCGCAAACGGCACGCTCGACTACAGGAACATTAACCTCCAAAAGAGTGTTGGACGTGTATCCACCTTGCTGAAAAGGTAAGAAAAATAAAAAATAAAAAAAATTTTCCAACTACAAATCAAAATAAACCAAATCAATATCTATACTCACACTGGTAGTTCCCCATCCTGTAATGCTAACAACTCTTCCCTCGGTTGGTTCGGCAGTAGCTAATTTCACTGGTTTAACAGTTTTCCCAAGAGCGAATTCACCCTCGATCTGAATGAACGTGATTTTTCAAATACCTTCGTTACCATTATTATTATCGATAAATATAACCAATCACCTCAATAACCGCTATGTCATAGTCGATCGTGTTGCTGTTGTACTTTGGGTGCCTCATGATCCTTTTCACGGCATAGGCAGTTCCGCCGTTCTTAGTCGTACTGCCAGCACGGAGTTTGTAGTTGCTAGCGGAGCCACTGCGTAACGAGACATTCTATTACGTGCCGAAAATACAGTTTAAGGTGGGATAAGGCGATATAGTTGAGCTTAGAGGGACGAAGCTAATTTACGAAATTCACAAAGGGCCAGTCGATGTATAATTACCCAACACAATGACCGGCAGTTACGGCCCATTTGCTGCTGATGACCGAAGCGCCGCAAATGTGCGAGTTGTACTGTTGGAGGGACAGCTGGTGGGGATGATTTTCTATAGTGGTCGCATGACCCCCGACTATACGATGATCCACTAGGCGAACTTCCCTAGGAAGGAGACCTGTTACGAAAGAGACATATGAAATTACTTCAAGTTAACGATAACACGTGTCCCATAAGGCGAGTCTATACATATATCCTTACCATCGTCCAAGGCTTTACAGCTGGCAAGCTGAAAGACAGCGAGCGTCAGAGCCAGTAGAATAATTTGCCTCATCTTTCCGCGTGTCCCAACGTGACTTGAGCGTCGGGACGCTACGCGTCGCTTATATAGCGCGATCGTGTGAAATCCTTTTTTCTCAACCTTTAAAAAAGCTGTTATCTTTTGAAATACCGGTACAAATTAAATCTCGGGCTTTGCACAATTTCAATCGTCGACAATGCCTCGGAGTATCTGTGCGGATTAATGAGACGGCATGTAGGAGGAAGAAGGGAGAGACGAAAAAAAGAAAGAAAAAGACGAGTGAAATCAATGGTATCGTCTTGGTTATCGGTGGCCGATAAATGACACTCGAAGCGATAAAGGATGATTATTGGCTCTTGTTAAAGTGCAACACGGTAGTACTCTTAGCGATAACAATCAATCGGTGCGTCTCTGGCGCAATAGGCGCGACCGACGACTCGTTAAACTGCACTTTCATTGTCGCTTTGATTTCCAGGATTTTTATTTTATTTGCACTTCGCCTCTTTCTTGTCTCTGTAATCTGGGAATGATGCCTTTTCTTATTTTTATTCTTACTTGTTATCGACTCTACGATAGACGATTGATTACTACGCGATTGATTGAATTGGATGTTTTTTTTTCCTTTTTTTTTTTTTCTTCGAAACCCTCGTCATTCATGAAACGAATGACGGATCGATTTTTCACGGGGAAAATGTAGCCTGGCGAAATTATACCGATTTTTCGTTGCTCGTACAAATTTACGTGGTTTTATCGGTATCGATTTTACGTGGAAATACGATTTTGACGTTTATAGAGTAAATCATTGTTATTGTGTGATTCAGGTAATCTGGTCGATTGACGTTTTACGATATCGATGTCACGGGAGATCTGATACGGTCCTCGTGTCACATATGAAATATAAAAGTTTCGACGTACTTGAAGCATAATTCAAAAGTACGTGGACAGATATGGCGGAATTATAATACATTTGAAAAGACGTTTAACATAGTGTATAATTAGTTGCAGGTAATAAATATAGTCGATTCCCATGAGAATTCACGGGAATAAAATATTATGACAGCCGCTCAGAGTTTCAGTCACGATTGGAAGAAAAATCGAAGGGGGGTACCCATGATTTTCCGCGAGCATATGTCTGTCCTTGTCTTACGCGTTAAAACGCCGATGGCACCGTCTCTCTCGCACTCGCGGCAAGCATAGCAAACGCCTAAATCTTGTGAAATTTCGACTCGATCTTACGGGACACGCGTAGAGGTCGTGTATGGCCTGTTCCATAGTCAGTGCTTCTTACGAATTCTTTGAGGTTATCGAATTCCTCGTTTGATTTTCAATTTGAACGGCGAACCCTTTGCCCCCTCTTTATAAAGTTTTTGCATAGCACGCAGCAATCAGGATTGTCGGGCCGGGACGGCGGCCTTCGTTAAAAGTCGTGCAAGAAACTTAAACGACTTTCCGAGTGAGGTCCCGGGCATCGAGAGGAATTTCATCAATATTATTGTTTAATTACGAATTAATTATCGTCCCACGATCGGCACTTTAATCGTCCCGATTTTCAGTTACGTTGACTTTCAGGGACTTTTCGTTACGCTCGACTTGCTCGAGGTCCACTTTTGCATTCCTCGTCAGTTCCACGAGTCCTACGCATTTTTAACAGTTCAATTCCCTTCGTCGACCTCGTCCCCATATTATCCCTTATTGCCATTTCACGTAACCATTAAATCGAATAATAATTCCTATTACTTCCGTTATTCGTATACGATAAAACAATAAAGATATCGAAAAATTTCTTTAACCGATAAAAAAAAAATGAAGAAAATAATATTTCCTATAACCGAGCATCGCTTCGCAAAATGAAATAAAAATTGTTCACGGTCAACCGGATGACAATATTCGCGAATGATATTCCAAGTATTCCGGCAGGTGAAGTATAGAGAAGTCTGGATTGCGCACTTGCCAAGGCTGGCACGACAGCTGTCTATACCGATTAACATATAAATCAAATCCAAACCGTATCCGAAGAAGCATAGCCCGTAGGGAGAGACCCTCTACGGGACATGTGTCCTGGAGCCATTTGGCAGTTGGTATTCACGTGCGGCGTATACCTATAGCTGTTAACCTGAAAATGTCTAGTTGGTAACAAGGCCCGAGGTGGTGACATTAAAGACGATGGAAATTCCAAGAATAAAAGAAGAAATGACCTCACAGCGATTCTGCCGCGAACGTGATCTGTAGTCCTACTGGGAAAGTTCACGCTCTCGTAAGTCTTCCTTCGAAGGGCTAACGAGTCCCACCTCTACCTACGCCCCTGCCTACGGACAGAATCCATCCCAGCAGTACCCGTAGCAGTTGCTACCGGCAGTACCAAGAAGGCTCAGAGGTATAGGAGCTAAAGGGAAGAGCTTACAGGCTCCTGTTTTATAGGAGGACTTGATTACTCCACGTTGAAGATACACATACAGAGCTCTCTGTGCAATCTACGAGCGAGGTCCAGGCTGGTGCAATTTATTCGGGGAAAAAGCCCCGTGCAAATTTCGTCCTTGCAGATTGGAGTGTGTGTTCGGGTTCTTCGTGCCGAACGCGAACACAAACGGCGTTAGATTCCAGCAGGCAGCTGCGCGCGCATCGACGGCGAAGATTTACGAGGATCTCGAGAAAATCTGCTGGAAACTTTCTTGGGTAACCCGTAGAGCGAAGTCGCCGAGGAGATCATAGAGAGAAGTAAAGAAGTTGGATAATTCGAGTAGCAATTAGCGTCCTTTTCAGAGAGAGTCACTTTTTGGTTACACGTCTGTGAATCTTGACGTGTCTTACGCGCAGCGTCACTCCCGTTTGTGCATCCGTGCAGGTCAATTAAATTAAGACGCTTTGATACTCGAGAGCATCTTGAGCCTTGGTTCGTTTTAGCAGAGTTACGCTTGTTTAGTCTAGATAGTAAAAAATTACTTATGCAAATGCATGAAGTTCGTTATGGTATGTGCTTTTAAGAAAAGCTCTTGTTGACAATGGTATACTAACCTTTACAGGGATCCTGACTGGCAGAGTGCACGTCAGTGGTCGTCCAGGTCTTTAATGGAGGCAACGTGATGGCGTCTACGGCCTTTCTGGATGATAGTTGCCTGGCAATGTGTGTCTCTGGTGAATACCTTCCTAACGGCGGGTTTTCATTCGGTGCCTCGGGCTATGAATTTTACATATTTGGCCTCGGTTAATATTTTATTTCGGGCATTGTCCGCTCATGAGGGGCAATGGACAGTCGGAACTGTTTCCACTATCTACAGAGTAGGAAAGAGATAGAGTCAGTTGGTGAGAGATGACAGAAAGAGAGAGAGAGAGAGAGTGATAGACGAAACAAAATGAAAACGATGCTTCCCTGATTGGATGCATTGTGTTAAATATACAAAATCTAATTCTACAAATATGTTTCATGGATTATTATATGTTATATACGTAAGGGAACTAGGAATAGACGTGACAATATACGATTCAGTTCTTGGAATAAAAATTAATGGCTCCCGTTCCAGGTATCGCTAAGTTTACGTAAGATTAACTTACCGAGTTTTGTTGTTCGAATTATTCTGGTGTTTGTTGATGCCGGGAATGCTCGGTTGAGCTTGTTAAGTATCTTTCACTAATTTTGTGGTGGAGTTTTGTGGTAGGAAATTTAGGAAACTTTGAAACTGGATATTGCTGTATGATAACGGTTACTTCGTTCAAACTCGTGATGCACAAGGGCCTGTGCTGCCAGTATAATATTAAATGCAACAAAATTTAATTTCTATTACCAGAGGGCCATTAGCTTTCATAGTTCATGTATAATGTAGATCTCTAGATTGCACTTAGTGCAGTAGCATCGACCAGTCTCCTATGTGACATAACGTTACTGAATCGTGCAACACTTTAGTAACCACATTGCACTATGCCAAATCAGCTGTTTATTTCTATAACAGCGCTGTATATATATAGTGTTGATCCGAACTCTCGGCGGCGCGCATGCGCAGTGGGACAGTAATGGCGCGCGGAAAGTAGGACCCAAGAACGGCAAGCGAGTGCGTGGAAAAAGATAGCGTTGTTGCTTGTTCCTAAATTGAAGAATAAACCCGTAAAAGAAGAAAATAGAATGAAAAGGCAGGATGACGTGCTTTGCTTCTTAAATTACGTGCGAAAATCGTTGTAAATCGTCTAAATGCCATGAACGTTACTATCCTCATTGTACATACAGTGAAGTGATGCGTTAAAAATGGCGTCGATCACGAAGAAGAATCAGGACGAGTCCATTAGGAGCGAAAGGAAGATTAAGCGAGAAACTCGCACAGATTTATCAGCTCGTAATTTCATGGAGGATCCTTGGATTCTTCTCATTCCTTTGGCGTTCGTGGAACTCGGAATCGGTTCGTGAATATATATCATGCCAGAGGCACGCCAACACGACGCACCATAAAGTAAAATGCATAATTGAGTCGCGGAGTGATTAGGAGGCGCCTGGAGAAACTCCAGGAGTAATGTGCGTCCCTCTCCAGTGTCCTGAGGGGGTGAATATCAAGGGATGATGGAGTACGAGGGTGAGTACAAATGCTATATGCATATACAGCTGTAAGAGAAAACCGCCGGGAAATTTATTATGTAAATGATGGAAGCTTGTTCGCTGTCAATTTAATTTCTCAAACACCCTTTTTTTTATGTCTTACCTTTTCGCTTTAATTCATGTCTACGTCTCAATTGCTACAGTCTAATCAGAAAGGGTTGTTGCTATTGCCCCTTGATGGAATTACCACACGAAATTACGTTCTGTCTTCTGCCATGCTTGGGGTTAGATTTGAACATGTTGCGAGTAATTGGTATGGCTAACTTGGAGTATTACGCCTTAACTCCTTTCGAAACTATGATTAGTAATTTATTAATTGACCTTAGAGACGAGATACCCGCTCCTAAAAATAACACATTAAGAAGTTATCTTTGTCAAGCGATTAGGAAATTTTCTTAATCGAACTTTTATCAGATATTTTTATATATGGTAGAGTGAAGAAAATGAAAATAAAAAGTGGTATTGGCAAACGTCATGATCACGGTGGAATATAATTAAAACAAACAGATGGAATTAGCGATGAGTGGGGTGGACGGCAGATTATTGACCATTCTGTATAACCGGGCAAGTTAAATGTGCGGTATTCTGCGTTTTTGGAAAAGTGTACAATTGAATGGGGTACCGCGAGTGAGGGTTTGTCAATTGGAGTTAGCGTTGTACATCACAGAAGCGAAAGGGTTGAAGCTGGGATCGAGAGGAGGGTTTCTACCGAGAGTGGCAACTCACTGAGCGAGTCAGTGAAAATTGGGAAACGTCGGGGTCGCAGAGTGAAGGTGCGAGAGGGTAGCCGATAATTAAAAAGTTCCAAACGAAAAAGAAGGAAAAATAAAGGAGAAAAAGAAAATAAAAGAGAATGGAGGTTACACGAGAAGTGCGTTATTTCGTAATTTTGTAACCGCAGACCCTTTTGCGACACACTATTCTCCGTATAGAATTCATCCCTTGTCCCAGAACCCCTGTCAAGAATTTAGGGCATACAAAAGGACTCCGAGCAGCGAAGCGAACAGAATTTATTAAAACTTTACGTCCTACGTGCACAATGGACACTTTTTCACACATTAATTTCTTTCAATTTTAATTCACAATAATTGCCTTTCAAAACGTCGCCATTATTTCATCGGCCACGTCATTTCCAACAAGTATACAATTTTCAGTTATACAATCTTCCCTATTGTTCTTGTACGTTACTTTGAGACTTTACCAAACACGTCTCTCGGTTATGGATCCTTTGATACGTGCAAACTACAGAATTCTAATGTCTACAAGGGATGAGAAAGGACTGAAATCTACTCAGAGGGTGGCTAGGCTTGATTCAACCCGAGCAAGGGTTCAAATAATTTATACAAGTCTCTCCTACCTACGCAAAATTTTCACCCTCAATTTCGTAGCCGTCACGACTTCGGAACTCATATTTTGCCATTGATTTTACACGACCCCTTAGCAATTAATAATAAAGCGTAACCAAGTACTTTAATTGTTCCGGTCATGCGGCTACATTTAATGGATCCACACTGAAGCTTTGTGGTCGTATCATCCGACGATAAACCCTACCTTAAAAATTGAGTTTCCACAACGCTCCCTCCCTTAAACTTTAACCCGCATACGTCATTTCTCTAGCGTCTATTGTGATTATTCAAAAATTAATTTTTACGATTCCCATTCTCCCACCACGTGCTCGTGCGAGTTTTCTTCATAAATAAATGACAAGCACAGAAGATATTAAACCGAGCCATATCCGAAAGTGGAAATACAGAAATAAGTGGTGGTGAAGAAAAAGGAAAAAATACATAAAAACAAGGGAAACGTAAGGTAAGGTAGACATAAAATAATGTTTAAAAAATGCCTACTGCTCTGTAACGCATACATGTATAAAGTGTCTACGTGCCGCGGCAAGTAAGCTGGCGGCGAGTGAATAATAAAATATCGCAAGAGGAGTCGCCAGCTCGGAGATCCTTACCCAGCCAAAGGAACGATATTTACGTCGTGGGAGCAGCCATTTTGGAAATTTCACAGCGCCTCGTAGCTACGGCCTTATTGTTTTTAACGATTGTCCCCCCTCCC